CCCTCATTATCTTCCAGATGCAAATCTGGACAAACTGATTTAACTCACTCGATCCCAACGGCATCCGCACCCAAAAGATGAACCAGACGGTGGATGAAAGGTGATGTCAGCAGCAGCTCTCTGTATTATTCACTGTGCTGCACCCTGGAGCTGTTTCACACTAGCAGCTAAACCTGTGATCCTACCAGCCACTCTGTATGTCCTCACAGTCAAAGACTGAACTGAAGTGCCTTCAGCTCAATGAAACTAAATAAGGGGTTGAAAAAGAAATAAGGAACAAGTACAAAAAAGGGAACGCCTGATGACAGTCAGGATAAAATAACATGATCTCTCGCATCTGGACATCCAGCCCCACCCAGCACATCGGACCACAACACTTGAGTCATGTGCTGGCGCTGGACTAAAATGGATGACACTTCAAAAAATGCTACATTTGGTAGAATAAAGACTGACTAAGGGTGTGCTTACATTTATAGTTCGGTTCCCTTGGTCTGGAGGGAAAAAGACATTCTTGCATTTTAGTTCTGGTGTGCTTAGACACATCCGACATTAAACCAAACGATGTAAACAAACGGACAAAAGGTCAATATGTAGCTCCCAACTGACGACAGGAAAAGCTCGAGCTCAAATAAACAAACATTACTCACTGCTGCCCTCTAACTGTCCTCTAGCACCAGACAGAAGTTACAACTGTTGTTTTTTCCACGATCCATGATGTGATTCAATGCCAGAAGTTAAACATTTTTAGCAATTGGAAAAATCAGAGCTTATTTCAAATACATCCAGCACATATATAAAGGTGTTTTCTCTGCTTTCTTTTTGCATGCATTTTCCTCAACCCACGTGATGAAAACGCATCCCACTCACAGTCTGCTTGATGTGGTGTAAACATCTGCGGAACAACTGCGGAAGATAATTGTGTTAACTTAAATAATTGCAATGAGCTCAAATAAGTGTGATCACGTGATTATGTACTAACTGTGACAGGCCTAATAATATAATTGATGTGTGCCGTGACATGACTGTGTACTTAATAATGAACGTAATATATTTAATACTGAACTTGCCTCACCCATGTTATAAAATCGAAACTACCTGTTCTATACTTACAGATTCAGAGCACATAAAGGGAGAATACAACACATGCATTGAAGCCGAGTCGAAACAGCATCAGAAATTCATTTTTTGCACAAACTACACAAGTTATGTTTAGAAGTTATGAAGCAGGCTAAGACAGACCTCCTCGGGTGGTCTCGGCCTGCTTATTTGGTGCACACCAGGGCGCTGTGGTGCGTGTGCTACATGAAACACTAATAACTGATCGACAAATGCAAGTTGTTGAATGTTTATCTGTGCAATAATACATTATATACACTGTGTTTCACTAGTGCCCTAGTGCCATTTAATGTTCCAAACCTATGACTGGACAAAGGTAACTAAAATAACTTGAACGACTGAATAACTTCTGAGGTAACTGGGTAACTGGGTTTAAACAAAACTATTCCTTCACTTAGTAACTAAAAGGAAAACTTTTCTTGATTAATTTACTGTTGATTTACTGTAACTCAGTGTAGGCCTTGCTGTAAAAAGATGTCACTCTCTTTGGAACTCCCTGAACCAATACAAGTAAAATACTGTCAATACAGTTTCATAATAAGAGGTTGGTTTTATAATAAGAGTTCCACCCAGGCCTGTGCTGAAGGTGACCGAGTGCACACGCACTGGCTGTTATTGCAGCCTCCTCGCTCCTTTGGGAGATGACGCTTCAGTTTCAGTCCCACTGGTAATCAACATCACGAACGACTGCACTTGCTTGAGCACAGAAACCTGCAGAGCCCACTAGCTGCGTGTAAAAATACTTGAGCCAAGATGGTGGCTGACTGCATTACAGTGCCACAGAGATCACAGAGGACAAGTTTTACAGTTGGTCTTCAAACTTTGCTCCTAAAGGAGGTATGAGGCTAATGCAGCTAACAAATAAGCAAGACGCTTGCATCTTAATTAGCATCATGCAAACTGCATGTCTAAATCATCACACAGCTACCTCAAGCCACATCGAGCTGTTTAGTAATCTGAAAAAGGTTAGCTTGTGTGGTTTCTGAGACGGTATGATGCACTGTTGTCCATAAAAATGGACAAAAGTATATTGCAAAGGTAAAAACAGTAGTAGCAGCCTTCTTGACAAACCTGAGATCACTTAATCTGGTGTGGTTTAACGCAAGGTTGTGATGATTTATGAATACAGTTAGCATGGAGCTAGTCTGTGGGGATTTAATGTGCTATCTACATTAGCCTCATAGCTCCAGTTCAAAACTACAGAAACACACTTTAGATACCAAACGTGTCTTGGCTTATTGACTACATTTGGGCTAAGGAGCTAAGAGGGACTTTAAATTTACATTACAGCAAACCAAAATGCCTACTTTGCTGGCTGAGGGCTGATTTGTGGGTATGTTGCTATAATAAGAGCAGGGTTACATGTTCAAGCAGAGTTCTAGGCTAGTTGCTCCCATGAAACACAAGTAAGAAGAGGTCCAATACTCTCTTTAAAAATGTGAACCAAGGTGTTTTCTTTAAGCAGTAAACTGAATATTCAGCAGTTATTATTAAACTGACAGTGAAACAGTAGAAAAAAAAGATGCAAATAAATGTGCAGGATAGGATACTTTGTCTACCGCTTTCTCCCTCTGCTGCTCTCACATACACAGGCACAACATTAACATTCACTTCTTCACTCATTTTCACTACAGAAATTACAAAGAATTCCCCTATATAAAAGTATCAGTATTGACATATTAGCCTTGGTATTACTTGGTATCGGATCTAAAAGAAAATTAGCAGTATTGCTCAACCCTAGCATGCAGTGTGAATGTGGACACATGATGTATTGCGCTGGGTCACATTTTAGCAATCTGACTGGCTGCCTCCCAACCTCACATCCTCATCCTCATTTCACTTCCCAAAGGCCCTCAGGCAGAGCTAGCATGTTATCTTGATCCGGCAAACCATTACAGTTAACTGTGAAACCTGTTGCTGATTTTAATTCTGCTGCGTCTTAGCTTTGTTATGTTTGTTTAGCGGTGGGCAATATGGGTAAAAATATAATATTGCGATACTTCAAGAAATTTTCATGATACACGATGTCACAATGTTTATTTTTTCAGACATCTGATCAGTGGGAACAAAAAAAGAAGCAGTAGCGCTATATTTTAAAAATATTATCAAAACTGTGAATACAATGAGTTTTACTTAATATTTGGCAGACTGTGTTGCACTAAATCCAGATAAACAGGACTAACTCTGCTCCCTTTATAATGAAACATGCAGTTGGTCTGTGTTGTTCTACAAGTACTGACGATATGCAAGATATGTTCAATACAATAAAAGCATATTGTACAGTATTGTAACAATTTTTTAATATTTTTAAAATAACAATTTATTATGAGAACGATATGTATTGTCATATTGCCAAGCCCTACTTTTATTTGTTATTTAACTTCACAGAAAGTCAGGCAAATTTCAGACACTATTTCCTTTTAAGGAAACTAAGACCAGAACGGGCATGTAAGATTAGACTCGACACCAGGGATACTCATATTTGCATAAAGTTCAGAAAAGCTCAACTTTTTAATTGCTGTCTTTGCACCACTCCCTACAATTCCCCATGCAAAACGCAGCCTGTCTCCTCAGAAATTAATAAGAGATGCAGTGAAAACTGCTTTGCTTTGCCGTCACATAAACGCAGCATTGAGCATCAACAGCTGTAAAAATGGCTACATCAACCAGGAATAAATCTGTGTTACCACCGTAGCTGTAGACAACAAATCAAAGACATTCTGCCAATTTTGGTCTAAAACTGTTATTGTGTTATGGGGAAACTGGTTCTAGTAGTTGCTAATAAACTACATCGTACAGAATCAGCTCTGTCTACTCTGTGGATTTGACGACATTGCTACACCAACACCATAGGCAAATAATGACATACTGTATATCCTCCTTCAGCCTGTAATGACGCAAGGTTTACAGAGAGCAGCTCTGTCTTTGCTGTCTGTGTGTATTTTTAGGCCACTAAAAGGGTGGGATATGCAAAAGACTGGGTCTACACTAAGACCACACTACACTGAACCCATCAAAACAAAACACCACATGGCTAGCTAATAGGAAATGCTGATTAGTTGCTCTACTAATCATTCTAAGACTTGCTGCTAGACAGTATATGTTGCTCCAACAAAACTTCACCACAACGGGCTACTCCTGGCTAGAGAGACACACAAGTGGCTAATAATCATGAAATTTGTTTGCGTTCCAAGTTTGCTCCATTTGCTTGCAGCTCAGAGACCCCATGTGACAGTCTAGTGGTTAGAAAACACCATTCAGTGGCTAGCAGGGAAAGCCAGGGCAGTCTTACAAAGAAGAAACACACACTGAGGACCAGATAGTCTTTCAGGAAATATCAGGGTTTTCACTGTTGATTATATTAGCAATTATCAACCAATTATTTTGACAATTAACTAAAACATGAGTTTTCAAAAAGACCAAACAAAAAAATGGACTTCACTGACCAATAATAATGCATGCACAACCTTTCAAAGACTTCAGAATACTTTTCTGGAAAAGACTTAATTTAAAGAAACACTACACATAGAAACACTATGTGGCAGAAATGTATATAAATCTAGAAATAAATGCATCATCATGCAGACTGCCAAGTACTCATTCATGATTCAATAAGATACAAGTTTTTTAGTCAAGTTACTGTGACAGCTCTCAAAAAGTTACCTCACTAAAAGCTACATTCATGCTACCAGGACAAAACTAGCTTCTGTATTTTAGCCACAATGTGGTCCAACACCAGCAACAGCTGCCTCAAACAACATTTCAGAATAAGCCAAAAGTTCTAGACCAACAAATTTCTTAATGTTTTTTAGAAAGAAAGAAAAACAAAGATAAATACTGAGACACATTGAAAAGATGCCTGCAAAACTGCAGCTCAAACTCACAGAGCAGCCAGTCACAGGAGACAGTAAACCTGTAGAAACTCTCCACTTCCTCCAGAGAAATCTTCACGAATCCTCCTCCTTCCACCATGGGCTGCAGACACACGTCACACTCCTCTTCTAGCATCTCTCTCCCTCTCGTTTACCTGCTCACAGCTAGCTTCTCTTCCTGCCTCTCACTCACTCACTCCCCACCTGTCTCTCTCTGCTTCTCATTTTCTGCTTCCTTTTCTATAACTGACTCTCTCTCTCTACCTTTGCTTCTCTTGTTCCTCTCACTTGTTTTACGTCTCTCTCTCTCTCACATGCTTTTTTCCCCTTCACACTTCCCTCACACACACAAGCACACCCACATATACAGAAAAGGTGTGAACACACCAGCCTGCAGCGTCGCGCTGAGATTCCAGGCTCCGCCCATTCAGAGCTCAGGTATGATAAATGGCAGCAAAACAAAAGCAGCGCCACCTTTGTCTTACATGTAACCTCAGAGCAGCAACATCTGCCTTTCTTCTTTACAAGAGGGTCCGTGATACTACATGACTTCTTTGATGCAGCGCCAGGCAAAGGTTTCAATTCCAATATTAAAAATAGACAAGCATTCTAAGCCATGGAGTGACTGAAAACAATAATTTTGTGGGTACTGATTCTGATTTAAGGGGTCTAAAAATTCTGCTGATTGAAAATATATTTTTACATCATAAATTTAAATTTTACACTGCAATATTTGGCAACTTTGAATGGTCAAATACAGTGGTCAGATCTCAACTGTCACATTTCTTAAGCTCAAATAAACAGCAGAGACTCAAAATACCCTTGTACCACTAGGAGTGAAGATACGCAGAATTCTTTATGTTTTTGGTGTGGAATTACCTATTTTATTATTTTCTGGTGACCTTCTGGATGAAAGTGCTGCAGAAATTAGCATTTTCCCTCATCTAACGTTCTGAATTCAGTTCATGAAGGGCTTGCTAATTAGCCCCACATTCACTAACATGCCACTTCCACATCTGGTCAGTGGTAGTCCAATAGTGGTCCATTTCCACTGATATACAGGGTAGAGTTGTGCTGATAAATTGTGGAGTAACAGGTGGGCTACAGTCAGTAACTGTAAACCTACAAAAGTGCTTAGTCTACAAAACCTGTTTCTCACAAAACATATGACAAGTGTTCCCCACATATGAATTAAGCCTAGTCCTGGACTAAACTGCAGCGCTAATAGCAAATCACTATTATCTATTGCTTTCATGTCATTTTGTGATGTGGAATTACCTCTTATTTTGTTATTTTTCATCAGTTCTCTTCTTTAACAAGGACACACAGTGCCACTGATGCAAAGCTCCACTCTTATGAAGCACCAAAAGCTACCTGAGTGCTAATAGTGACCCCTTGTGGAGAGTTTTCAGCATGCTAAACATGAGTGAGTGAGTGAATGAGCAAGTTACAAGCCAGATCCATTAAGTGCTTCACATCTAAAAAGGCAGTTTGAGTTAAAATGTGTTATCCATCTAAAACTCTAAGACCAACATCTATCTCAAGTGATCTGATCATAACTGGACAATGAGATGTATTAATGTTTACGCCTGCCATTTGCATGTGTCTCAAACGCGTCTCCAGTGACCGGATTTTGTGATTGGAGGAAGTGTACCAGCACAATTATTATGTCAGTCTCTTGCTGCATTTGTTGTCAGACAAAAATGTACTAATATTGTGATTATAATAATTAATATGGTTATTATTTATGTTGGTTCTTTCTATCTTTTGTCTTCATTATTGTTTTCGTTGTTTACTGCTACTGTTGTGATGCTTTAGCAATAGTGTACCTCACAGTCACGCTAATAAAAGCTATTCTGAACTGAAATGAACTGAACAAAAATGTACCGCAAGTCCATATTTGTATAAATGAAAGGTCTGTTATAAACGTTTGGACCACATGAACTGCTAGCGCAACTTGTAAACAAACAGCAGAGGAGACGAGGAGCAGCAGTGTGTCCACACTGAAGAGGATGCATCAACATGCTTTAGTATTCACACTACAGATGTTGTGATCATATGCATCCCTGAGTAACCAGACACCCCATTTACACTTGTACTTAGCACTGCCCACTCCTGATCAGATCACCCAGGATGCAAGCCAATGCCAGGTATGACTGGGGACTAAGGTTTTGTCTTCGAGAGATCATGAGTTTAAATCTCAGTGACACCATGACCAAAAAGTTGATAATTATCAGCATGTTAACACCTACATTTTGCCCATATTGTTAAACTGCTGGTTGTCAATATTGGCCAACCAATACATCATTCATGCACTTCATAGGTTTACAATTACAGACTGTAGCCCTGCTCTTGTTGCACAATTTATCAGCCTTCCTCTACCCTATGTATCAGTGGAATGAGCCCACCATGGGACCACCTCTGACAAGATACAACAAAGAAACTGCACTGATGAAGGGTTAGAGGATGACTAATACAAATTGTGTATGGAAAAAAGACAAGCCATGGTCCCTACCTGTACACCTTCAGGAGTACCAACAAAGCATTTTTAATAAATAAATGTACAGAGTTTGTTAGATACAGTAGCAACACTGCAGTACCTGAAACCAGTACCACACACACTAAGATGCCACTACCACATCTGGTCAGCAGTGGCCCAACGGTGGTCTATTTTTGTTGAAATACAGGGTAGAGTTGGGTTGATACATTGTGGAGTGACAGGTGAGCTACAGTCAGTAACTGTAAACCTACAAAAGCGCACCTATATAGTTGGGGTTTCTCACAAAACATGACAAGTATTCCCCACATATGGTTTAAGCCTTGTCCTGGACTAAACTGCAGTACTAATGGCGAATCATTATTTTATATTGTTTTCAGTCCTGGCTTAAGCTTAATCTGGAAGCCTTACAAATATCAAAACATCCAATGATTAGATAACACTTCCATGTCATTTTGAGAACACATCTGCATTTACCTTTGGCTGAGGTCTGTATATATTTATGCTGTTTTTTTCTTGGCCTGAAGGAGCAGAAAAATAAAGTATCCATAACTGGGTTTATATTCAGACAGTCCAGAATCACTCGCCGTTTGTGTGCTACATTCAAAGTGACACACACATGTATCCTGTAACAACACGATACAAAGGTCGAGTGTGAGTGCGCATTGACTGGTCACACATGAGCCAGGCTTACTTAATACCCCACAGCAACCTCCAATAATAATAAACCACAGCTAAAGAGTGACTTATCACAGAGCACAGTATAGCACAATATCAAGAGTCATAATTCAATCCACAGTATGATAACAAATCAGTTCCTAACTATGACACACAGTGCAGTAACCTGCCTTCATCAAAAGCCATTCAAATCTGGGCTAAAAGGACAAAGCTGTTAGTTACACTGCTACATTTGCTATTAGCAAAAAAGACAAACACCAACATGCAATGCTATACTGTTAATACTATATAAAGATTAAACTGTAACTACACACAGAGTGCGATACTATTAGCAAAACGTAGACAACTAACTCTTACTGCACAGACTCAGTGTAAGTTGGTATTGGCTAGCTAGCTTGTTGCTAACAATGTTAGTGATATAAGTGGTAACTTTCACGTTCATGATGTTTTTACCTTCCAAGTTCTGAGCTTTATTTGAACGCAGCAGATCTGTTAAGGCTGTTAAACACCTAACGTGATGTATTTGTATGACAGTAAATTAATTAAAAGCTGTGTATAGAAGATATTTTGTACACTGATCGTGATTGTTGAAGGGTGAAAATCATTAATTTTATACACTCTCTGTTTCATTTTTTGCAAACTTTTGCCATCGACATGAACTCTGACCAATCACTGTCATCTCTGGTGTTGGCATGACAACAACCAAGTTGACGGAGCAGCCTTCTTCCAGCAAATAGAACTTTTTCACGAACACTAAAAGGATCAAAATCTACGAAAGAAGCGGAAAATCAGCTGAAACTGAATTAAGGAGAGGGAGTAAACTGAGGTGGACAAACCTCAGAACAATTCAGAGACATTTAAAAAAAAACAACAAAAACAAATCAACAACATCATCATGTCACATCCAGTGTGTACAGTTTTAATGCAAAAAAATCTGGAGTTCGGTGTCTCATGGCCTTAAAGGCCATTGCTATATTACTATATTGACATTTGCCATAGTACAGAAAACTATCTCTGTATATCACGCTATGTTGGCATTCGTATAATATATAAAACAAATGTACTACACACAATGGTATATTAGAGCCAGCAACACAATACAGAGAACTAACTCTATAGAGAAGAGCGCTAACGCCTTTAGCTTATATGGCTCAATATTTAGTTAACATGCTCAATGATATGTTCAGTCTCCTCTTAAAACCAATACACAGAGTATTTAGAAACTAGAGTGCTAGAGTGTTTTAAACAGTTTAGCTAAAGACTAAAACAAATAAGACATCTTTGCTTTGATATAGAATGCTGGATTAAACCCCAGTTTGACATGGTTTACCCTAAACACTAAAACAATTAAAAGACCTCTGTTAGCAGATTAAGCAGCAGAATGCTAAGTAAACAGAACAAAGGCCGGTGGATCGGGAACAAAAATCTACTTTTTGGACGGCACACTCAGCAAACATGCTCCTAAGACTGAGCACACTGTAAATCTGCATTTGTTCAGCAAAACTTCAAATGTGCTGCAATAAAAGCAAGTAGAAATAGGCATTAGTGTTCGCTGGCAATGCAGAAAACTAAACATCACAGCATCAGTAGTATCAGTGTACAGATGGACTAATGCAAGGTCAGAGAGAGAGAGAGAGAGAGAGAGAGAGAGAGAGAGAAGCTTATGGAGGGAGATTTAGACTCACGCAGTTCAAGAAGCACCTCGGACATCTGTTCTGCTTCTGTCCAGTTCCTCGTCTGTTCACTCACTGCTATGACAGCGTGTGTGAGTGTACGTCCCTTCAATGCTAAGTCTGTTTCCTGAGTGTGTGTGTGTGTGTGTGTTTGTTCCGTCCACACACATCCCTGATGGTCATTCACTATATTTATAAACCCGCTTGTTCAGCTCGTCCTCAGTGTGTATATGTATGTGTGGTTTCTCCTAGTGAGACCATTTACTATGTCATGAAATGCACTTGTATGTGAAGGCAGCACTTCTTTGTTTGTGTATGTCTGTATGTTCATTCACAGAAAGATGTGTCACTGAGTGTGTGTGTGTGTGTGTGTGTGTGTGTGGGAAACTGATAAAGAGGCCCCTGAAAGTATATGGACACTTTAACCGCTGGTAAACTCTAATGCTGCTCTTTAGGTTACTAAATAAAATGTTTAGCAAAGTTTCAGAGAAAAACATTTTTGCACAACATCAAACTGATGGTAGACTTTTGGTGTTGAGAAAACCTGGAGAAGAATCCCAACCAGACTGCA